TGGACAACATATCAACCTGCCGCTTCCGTTCGAATTCAAGGATTTCGATGAGACACTGAGCAACAGCGTAATACGATGATTCATCATCCGTGAAATGGGACGAAGAGAACCGCCCTGATTGTGCATGATAACATCATGCTTATGTGTACGAACAGTACATTGAGAGCATGCAAAATAAAACTATGTGACAACGCACCAACCAATGACTTTTGTCGGGCCTGCCGTATGTCACCAAACTGAAATGAATCCCTAGAGCATCAATTTAAGCAGTGTAATCCAACTAGAAATAAGCAACAAAGCGGCGTCCACGAAGTATAGAATTTCAAGATTATGAGATAAAAATCACCTCAATGATGAAGATATTTGGTCAATCAAGTGCGATGTCTGGACTATAAACGTCAAGAGTGAGCAAGTTTTAATTCAAGGTGTGTTATATGAATAAACTTTTGGATTAAGTTTCCTTCTCCAAGTCCAATAGTACGGATAAAATCGGTGAGTTTTTTTAACTTGTATGCAGATGAGCTGTTACCCTTGTTATTCCTGGAAAGTTTGATGTTGCAACCAAATTTATCCAAACACGAAGACATTACAGTAGCATGCAATCTAGTGACACGGTGTGAACGGAATATAACGCAGGCCCAACACGAGTACTTGAAATAGGAATCACGGAAATAGGTGCACAACACAATCCCTGAGGCACACTTTGGACGAGCAAATAGTGCAACTCAGTTTTTATATCCCATCTAAGAGGTATGCACAGAACATATACAATAGAAGTCTAGGTTGCACGTAAATAGGGGTTTTATTAAAAGGTCAAATTTTCCAAAAATAAAAATGAGCTCGTGAATTTGGAGACACGAGATCCAGTGCCTAATTTGATCGCAGAATTAGCGACTTTAAACTCAAATCTGGCTGGCGCTAATACCGTAAAGCTCAAATACAAATGACTGGCCGGTCACCAAAAAGCATACTAAAAAACACCGCACGAACTGACACTTAACAAAGGCCGAATGTAGTCACTCAGACAAAGAAACCGCGATTGTGATCATGTGTAAGGAGGATTACAGTTTTTAGTTTCAGTGTCTACAACCGTTAACCATCTATTATCATACGCCCGCTTTGGTTGCTGTCTTTTTGCCACCCCTCTGGATAAAAGAGCAGAATAAAGATTGGAATGGTGAGAGCAGAGCCAAAGTGAAGATAGTGAATTCATATAGACCGGGGTCGCAAGAAAAATGAGTAAATGCACCAGCGTTACCGTTTACGATACGCAGTCATATAACTCAGTATCTCCAACCAACGGGTACCACGATCTTCAGATCCTCATCCAGGGAGCATACAGGAACTATGGAACCTAGTATCCTAATTAGGGTTTTCATACCCTCATGACAGGTTTTAGTTTGACAAGGTGGATTACACTTATAAAAGAATTATTCATAGTCTCCAAAGTTTACGACTGCATCAACAGAATGATACTAAACGCACCGGACTGAACAAAAAATCGTACATACCGAAACAGCTCCAATCAGGAGGGTCGTATACGCGGTTAATTAAAAACATGACTCAATCCTATGCACTGAAGGAATCGTTTGACTAACTGATAAAACTAATCCGTCTGATAGAAAAGACATTCTAACATCTCAAATTATAACCTAAGATGTGCGGTCGAAATATTTGTGAGCTAAAAATAAGATTAATCTGCTGCTATCTCACCCCTCGAAAATTAGGAAGAGTGAGCCAATTCCACCAACCGCTACAGCATATTGGTCAGTAAAACATGCTTTTAAGTAGTACGGAAAATCAATTGGGATAATTGTCGTAAAATGGATAGGATCCGTGAAAATTACGTTACCTCCGTATCTTGTCCCCATTGTTTACTGTCACCTATTATTTATTCAAAGCACAATTCAAATGGACAGTACCACCTGTTCTTTATTTTTCAAATGAAGCATAATCTTTTAAGAAGTCCTCAGCTTGGCACTAGACCACTGCACTAGGAACGCAGGCTCTTTTCAGTTTCAAATTACTTTTTGTTTTGCAACTAATTATCTTTTCCTTGGGAAAGTTTTTCTGACTTCATTACCGAATTTCAATTCTAAATATTATCCCATCCATTTGCAATGTAAGGTTGATCACCGATTGCAGTACAAGGGGTCCACCACAAATTAAAACGGTTTTGGCTATAATGAGGTCACAAAAACAGGGCACAGTTAACGATTAAGACTAGACTGTATACGAGATTTAATGCTTAATTCGTTAGCGAAACTAAATTAAAGAGAAACGACGTTATCGAAAACAAGTGAAACATTTGCTACTGGAGAATACATTGACTTCTTTTCGATAGTTCAGGCTCTTAGTTCCATGCTATTCGGGTGAAAAATGTGTTCCGTAGTCTATGTATATCCATTTATTCGTTCGGTATTCCGTTTTTGTTAGCGCTGATGTATGATGAAACCCATCGATACATTTGTTATGGTGAGTGTTGGTCGGCACCAGTGCCACCGTTATTAGTCATGACTTCAGTGACTGATTAGGCTCAACAAGTAATTCACGGAGTCGAAGTGCATGGCACGTTAGATCCAATTTAAGATGGCCTTTGGTCAGTGGAATGATCAGTTTCGTCAACGGTTATCGTTGAACCCTTCGCAAAGACGGGTTAGTTCGACAGCGGTTATCGATCGATTGGAGACAGAACATCATACTCAGTGTCCTGCATACCAGGTAGATCAATCGCAACTATCGTTCACTCGTTCGTGCAGCTACCTTAGTGCAACAGAGGACATAGATCAACTAAATCTGGATCTCACCAGCGACACTAATCTAGGGGTCGGAAACAATCGCTGCTTTGATGACTACAGTAACGAAAATAACCATAGAATTTGAATAAAAATATCCCCACAGCATTGCAGAAGCGGTGTAGAGCATGTACAAAGATTTATTTGGAACAAAGTCATAAATCGTTTGTTTACTTGGCTACATTCTCTACTGGAAATCAACCACTGCGCTCTTCGCATCAGTTTTACGCTCCTGTAATTGATCCGAAAGCCAAGCATTAGCCAAGGAAACAACTTCAATTGAACAGGGATCTTCTGCGCTTATATAAGTGAGATAATTTTGAATTTTTCACATTTTTATCTGGCAGATTTCAAGCTGTCATGTCGAAATTGTGAAAAGTTCAGTAGCTCCTGTGGGATTCGAANTCGAACCCATGCATATACGCCACCTACGCATTTGTACAGGGCACACTCCACCAGCTGAAATGTCCAGGCGTGGGTTCAAATCCCACCGAGACTACTGATTTTTAAATTTATTCGTAATAACAATAATTTTCACATTTATGTTCTTCTTTGTGACGCTTAGATTGTTTGAGGCGATTTTATCTAAAAACTAGGAAGAAGATTTGATGCAACATTTATTCATCCTCAAGTCCCCAATAGGCGATCTTTTCTTTAAGATAGGTAATAAGTAAAATCTCCGATCCCAAGGCATT